TATTGGACAGGACTTTGTATCTCGAAGTCAGTAAGGATACGCCTCTATAGTTACTACATGCTAGGTAATTATCTCTCTTAAAAATAGGGCAGATAATTGATTTTGGTACTTGTCTGAAATCCGGTGGGGATCGACTGCTATCTGCCAATATTTATAACTTGAACACTGATAATTCTAATAAGGCACTGATAATCTCTATCCTCGTTTTCATATTTATGGAAATAGAAATAGACAAAAACGAATGTCATATTTATGGGAATTCTAAAACACAAAAACAAATGTAATAATTAAAAAACACTTTTATTTTACAACATATATATGAAAAAACCCTCTAACCACGTTCCTTTCCTTATAGATACAAGTGGAATGAAAGCATTTCCATTTCGTCTTCCTGTCGAACTTCATTTCATGACCTTCACAGAATTTCACCTTTGCAATTATCCCGGCATTTTGGTAATATTTGATAGCCTCTTCTTCTGAAGACTGAATTGTCCCACAATGCAATAACATCCATTTCAATCAAAATTTACAAATGGAACTAAAATACACAATGAAATAACTCAAACCTTACACGAGATAAGAAGGAATTCGTCCCGACCGAATTCTAGACAAGTACCTTGATTTTTTCCCATGATGAGGTTATTACTTCATTCTCCTACATTGACATAAAAAAAGAAATTGAAATGCCTTCACCAGTTCATTTCCTCCATATTACATGAGTTCGGAAGTCTGTCAATCGCGTACTCTGAAGCCTTGTGGTTCTTTGACCTATCCACACCAGGTAGCACTCAGCCAACATCCTCAGGATTAACATTTGGTTATGAGTTATTCAGGAGTTCTACAAAACGTCTCCTATATTCTGTGAGGACTTCCATCTTATCAGTAAGAAGATTAAATAAAAATAATTAATGTTTTAATTCTTATTTACTGTAGCCAGCAATTTAAGTTGTTTTTTTACAATAGTTTTGTCACACTGACAGAAAAATACAGTAGCAGCATATGGTTTTAGAGCTGGATGTTTGTATAATCCACCCCTAATTTTTGTTTTAACACTTACTTTTTCCTTATTTTGGTATTTTTTTTAGATTTGTGGGAATACAATTGAAAAAACACCTTTGAGCTGATCAAATATTTGTGTGAAGCTGATGATGGTGCATCTACGCACTTAGCAAATAATAGTAAGGATCCACAAGTACAAGCTTTATGGATGGTGTATTTTTGGTTTGGCTTACGCAAGTTGTAGATGTTTTTGCTGATTCGGTCCAGTATTAGTTTTTTGTCAGAAATCAAAAGAAGCTTGCAGCAAGCGCTTGACATGCATCATCCACTTAGTCTGGGAGCCTATTCACAAAAATGAGTTATTTTAAAGCAAGTTCAAAATGGTGCTTCCCTGTGATAATATTTTTAAAAAATTTGATAAATCAAAGATTATCAAATTTTGCTTCAAATCAGTAACTAATATTATAAATTTCATCCAGGATTATATTAGTTCAATCATATTTATATTACAGGTGTATTTTACATAAAAATCTTACCTGTAAAAAGAGAAGCAACGTTTAAAGCTATCATTTCACTCTGAAATTGTTTATAATTAAATTATTTCACTACAGTTTTTATCACAGGTTGAACATAACCTTCTATTTATGGTCGACATTGATGGTTATAAAATATGCCAGGTTGTATTCCTTGTTCACTCTTCTGTGAAAATTCTAACCTACTTATTAGATAAGCTGTAAGTTTGAAAATTGGCAAAAATATAGATTAAGCCCTGTGATTGACAGGTAAATTCCTAAATAGACAATTTTTTTTTTTTCTTAATCTCAGGAAAAAATCAAGGTTAGTAGGGTGAACACACACTGATTGCTTTATTTTTGGCATCCTGCATATGCCAAACCCGTCATCTCTGCTGCATAGTCACTCAACTCCCCAGGAAATTGAGTTGGTTCTAAATTTTACAGAAATTCTCTAGGTGCTTTTCTGCACCTCTGTCAGAAATCTTCCTTCACTTTCTGTTACCAGGGACAGATAAAAATTAATGTTTCACTATTATTTTTCAGTATTATTCCGTTATTGGCCGCACTGAGCATTCTAGATGGAAATATTGTTCTACTAAAATGTATGCGGGTATGCTTTAAAGCAGCCATATCTAATAAGCGATTGGGTGAGGTAGTAGTAAACAATTTTTGTTCCATGCCCACCCAGTGTTTGTTCATGGATACATTTGTTTATGTATTGATGTACTGAATGTGTATGTGTATTGATATAGGTTGTGATTAATATTCATATATTTGTATCAACACGTTGACTTCCATGTTATTTTTCAGGTTTCTGGTGTTAATAGTAAATTTAATTAAATGATGGCATAATTATTAAAAATGTAGTTCCCATGTGATTTTTTTATTACAAGGGTACAATAATCTCCTTACACAAAAAAAAGATTTTTTCTCTTCCAAGTCTCTGAAAAGCTTGAGCACTTTACTATGTTATGTAGTCTTTAAGGTAATGTGGCCATCTTTTTATTTTCATGGATCTCCTAAGCTGTGGTTATTCTGGTGGTGTTGCTCTTACTAATGATTCTGGTTTTGGTGTTGCTTCTGGCTCTGGTCTGGATGCTGATACAGGAATTAGTCTTGGCTGAAAAAAAATATTGGTGTTTATATTTTAAAATGGTATTCTGATGAAGGTTCTTGAAATGTCATCTTTTTGGCTTCCAATTTTTTAATTTGATCAATGTGTCTTTATTTTTCTCCCTCCATCAAGATGTACTACGTAATAAAGGCATCCCAGCTTTTTAATGATTTTTCCTGGTCTCCATTCTACCTTGTTAATAAAAAATCTTGTATTACCCTCTTCCCCACTTAGAGAGATCTGGTCCATGGCTGGATTGATTGATCAGATTTTTGTTCGTGAAACGGTTGTAAGGCATCTTATCTTATTCTTATTTGCCTGTTCAGATATTTTTCAGCTGGTGATGTACCATCATGCAATGGCGTTGCTCAATAATGAAAAAATATTCTCCATATTTTGCTTCATGAGTAAATTGTCTGTGTTCACTGCTTTTAAGGTTTGTATCTAGTGTTCAACCAAACCGTTAGTGGTTGGATGTCCTAGTGCGATGAATTTTTGCTTTATACCATTTAATCATTAATAATTCCTAAAGATTCCGTTAGTGGAGATAGTTGCATTATCGGATGGTAGCACAAATAAATAGCCGTGGGTAGAAATTATTTCCTTAAGTAATTTGATTGTACTTGTAATATTGGGTGCATTTTTGCACATCTTTGCTTAAACCCAGCGCCATTTTGCATGAATGAGGAGCAGGTAATTGTACCCTTGCAACGGACTGGCATAATCAATTTGCACATTGTTCAAGTTATTTTGAGGAGGTTCCCAATGGGTGGAATGAATTCTCCTGGCATTCTCTTACCATTCTCTCAATCATTTTACTAATGGCAACATGAGTTGAGTGCAATTGTTTGAGTACCTCAGCCTGTAGAATTTGGGGGATAACTGCTCTGTTGCCCTTGAATAGCATTCCACTGTCTAGTGTGTATTCACTGTCAATAGACGTCTACTGTTGCTCCTGTTTGATTCTCCATAACTCTGTATCTTTTTCTGTCTCTTCCGCAATTACATCAGGTGTAAGAATTTCTGTTGATATTTTGAAAATGCGTGAGGCACAAATTTGATGGACCCCTTCATTAATGAATATATCTGAAGATCTGTGCTACGGGTACTTTTCTTAAACTTAATAATTTAAGAGCGTACTCTGCACGATAACTGGAGCGATCTGGGATCAGAGTACTAACACATGGAGAAGAAAGACTAATAAGGAACCACTTACATAAACTGGTCAATCAATATGCCATGATATGAAGGCACGGAGGTTAAGATGGGCGGGGCAGGGCATGTAGCTAGTATCAATCCATCTGGAAGCTTCTTCGTAACAATGAATACCTATGAATGAAAAAAACTTTTTGAAAGGAGGTATATGTGCCACATTTGTAATAAAAGATCGGGAATCTTGGCTATAACAATTTTGTTTGCTAGTTGTTGAAGAAAAGTCTGTTGATTTTGATTCATTGTATCGATAAGTAATATGAATTCTCCCGTGTCCATTTTTTATTTTGTGATAATGATAAAAATGTTATAATAATTTATGTGATAAAAAATATTGATACTCACCATAATCCAAAGAGATCACTAAAATGAAGTGATCAGGTAAACGCTTCGCCAAACACCCTTTTACCTCCTCCCAAATTGTTATAATTTTAATAATGTAGTCTAATCAATGAATATACTTTCTTTATTAAACATTAGAACATTTCATAACTTTTTCTAATAATAATAATTAAAAATGAAGTTCCCATGTGATTTTTTATAACATGATTACAATAATAACGAATAAATTTTCTCTTCATATAAGCAAATTTAATTTTTATTCTCTTCTCAGTGGCTCTCTATTCATATTTACTCTGATATATTATGAATTTCATCATAGCTTAACAAATATGACAAGTAAACTTGACTATGATATAACTTGTAGTTGGCGTCCTAGACAATACTATGAATTTCATCATAGCTTCACAGATATGGAAAGTAAACAAACTATGATATGACTCATAGTTGGCGTCCCAGACAATAATATAAACTAAAATTTATTTTATAGTAGGCAGTCAATATGTTAATAAAATAAGTTTATTTTTGGAAGACTCCATAACTAAAACTTTAAGTCTCCGAAGTCATATATAATAACCAACTAGTCAATATTTAGACCTTCCAGTTTTATAACATTACTGTTAAATGATTTTATGTAATATCTTGTAGCTATTGTAAATTGTCTTGTAAATAAGCTCTAATCTTTATCTATAGCATTGACATTAATTTTTAATGCAGACTAGTGCACTTTAAACCTACATAATACATGTCATGAAATCTTCCAAAAGTAATATAATTAGTATTGTTCATTAGATTTGATTGATTTTTTTTTTTTTTTTTAGTCCTGTTTCAGTACTACGCTATTTGAATGATCTTTACATGTTGGAATTACGTTCTAACAACTCTACTGTATGGGAAAAACCGATTATTTATGGTACTTCCCCTCCTCCCAGAGAGTCACATACTGCAGTCGCTCATACAGATTCCAAAGGCAATTCTCGATTAATAATATATGGCGGAATGTCTGGATGCCGTTTGGGAGATTTATGGATCCTTGATATAGGTATTAGTTTTACTATACAATGTTTATTATTTATTATTGTTATAAGGTTTATTTTTGTAAATTGTTGTCAACTAAACATTAAACTTAAAAAATAAAATTTCTTTCAATATATTGCATACTTAATAAAGGTGAAACCATCAGATGTTTGTACATTAATAAAATTTTGAAAGTGATAACAGTTCATATTTTGTTCCCTAACATTATTCATGAGGATTTATTCTTACTTAGTTTTGCAGCTTATTTCTTGCATCCTACCGTCTACTTGATTTGGTCTTAAGAACCTGTTCTTTCATTTTCTATTATTTGTCAGTAAAGGTCATCATGAGTAAGGGTAATTTGAAGGTTATATCCATATTTTAGTTTTTAAAAAAATATATTAATAATACTAATAATATAAAAACTATTAAGTATTTAATACTGGTCTAAAATTAATTGGTTAAAGATGATCAAGATTGTAATAGAAAAAAAAAGGAAATTTTAAACATTAACTATATGTGAAAAAAAAAAATCTATTCGCTAATGAGTTGTGGATAGAGGTCTAGACCTCAGCTGTCGCCTAGTTAAAATCATTCTATCACCTCCAGATGAATACCATTTTCTGTACAAATTTTTAGTCTTAAATCTTTGTTTTGTCTTAGGAGAGTAGGATGTTACAGTAGCTCAACACATATGTAATTAAATGAACAGCTGTGTAATTAGTGCTAATAATAAAGCTAATAGCAAAACTCCTGTACTCTACTCTCTTCTGATACTAAAATATAAAACTCACTAATAAATTTTTTATATAAATGTCAGTTTTCTGCCATTCTTCCTCTCTCTCCACCAAAAACCAATGCAGGAAATTTTGGGAATATTACCACTTATTATGGAAAGGTTAATTAACATTATCAGATGTTTTATCTTTTTCTTTTTTTTTGTTTTTCTTTGGATCAATCCCTAATTTTTCTGTACTATGAAGGAGGCAGCTTAATAATATGTGTCTCCAATTCTTTAATCCCCAATAATATAAACATGCCAGGTCTGAAATACCATTTCATCTCTGAAAGATAGCTTGAAAAGATTGTAATAATTTAAATAAAGAAAATTTAATGTGTACTGTCCGGCAGTAAATATGTCAACTCCGAACTGCTTGTACCACATGGCTGGCATAGTCGAGCGTTATTAAATGAATTTTTATTCGAATAATTTATTTAATAAATTTTCAATCTAAATTTTTAGTGACTGATGATTCCTAGAAAAACCTGTAATTCTGATTTATTCTGAGAATCATTCAGTATTTTTATTGAAAAAACAAAACAAATTATTCAATAAACATATGTTTGAAAAAATATTTATTCTAAGAAAATATCCATTGAATATAAATTATTCCAGCTAAAAAATTCACTGGTTTGTTATTTATTGTTGCATAAATCATGCAAAATTTGCATCCATTTATAAAGTAAGAAAAGAGGTTTCTTTAAGTTATTAAGATAGCTTTTTTAGAAAAAAAAAATTTAAATTGCACTATATCAATTTATTTTAAAATTGATTCTTCCTAACGTTTCAGATTTAATCAATATTAGGGTCTACTATTATGTTGTAGTGGGTACTTTTTATGAAAATACTGTTGAATTGAAGATTACGCAACAAGTTTTTGTAACTATTTGGATTAATTTGATAGTAGAGTACAATATTATATTGTCAGGAGTGTTTTTAAATAAAAAAACATGATGCACAATATCAAATCCAAACATATTTTAATAAAAAGCTAAAAATTTTAACGATTATTACTAACAACCATTAGGTGTTGGTGCTTAGGTTGGCAGAAAAAAAAAAATCTGTGTAGGGTTATGAAATTCTCGCCCCTTAAAGGTTTAATAATTTTATTTTTCACAGCTTGTATTTAACTTGTTTATTGAAAAATATTACAATCTGTCTCAAAAGACATTTATAATCGTGTTCAGAGATCACATTCACTATCTGTGTACAATATATAAAAGTAATATATATATACATTAAATAAGAATAAAATAACTTAAAAATAAATAGATAAAAAAGAACACATACATACCTGTATACACTACTAGCTTTACCCGGCCACGCGCTGCTGTGGCTTAGCCTGGCAAAATGAAAAAGAAAGAAAATAGAAAGCACATATGAGTAGATTAGTAGCAAAGGACATCTGTTATTTTTAAAAAGTTGGGAAAAAATTTGTCTGTAAAATGGCTTCAATTTAAACTAATTCTAATGGTTTTTTTTCTCATGATTCAAATTGACCATTCATAATCATCTGAGTAAATACGCCGTCATTCATAATCATCAGAAGCAGTCTGAGTTGAACTTATAAAACTAAATAAAAAAATTAATTAAAAAAACGAATAATAGTATTGACATACATAAGGAGAATCATATAAATTTTTCAAATGATAATTTCAATTACTGTAGTAATTGAACTTAAACTGAGTCTGGCCTGAGACGCCCTAGTGTGTACATTGGTGTAATCGATCATATAATAGACTCAGTTTACTCTAATTTAATTTTCAGTTCAGTTAAGTTCAGTTTTTTTTTTCTTCTCTTTTTTAAAAAACACTATTATTAATCATGCTATTAAGTGTCGGATCTCCACAATAATCAGAGTAAAGAAATTGCAGTGAGATTGATAGAGTTCTGGGAGCAACGAGCTGGCAGTCGTCTAATAATCCTAACAGCATTAGACGTTGTTTACTACCGTCAACAGTCCTGGTATTTATTTATATTTTAATTGTGAAGTAATTCTCATTAATAAATTTAAAAAATGGTGCAGTGTAATATTTGTAACAACTCTATCGCACGCGAAGATAAGAACAATATACACTGCGTTAAGTGTAAAATAATTTTTCATGGTAGGTGCGTCTACCTTACTGATAAAGACACCGAAGCACTAAAAATAATTAAAACATGGGTTTGCTCTAACTGCGAACACGTGAAAAAACAAAATACCGAGCCGTCCCCATCAGAAATACTTGCGGCAGAAAATCGTTCAGACGCTACCGTGAACGAGGATATAAAAAACATGAAAACAGCACTAGATAAATACGGAGAGCTCAGTTTTGAACTAAACGAAAGATTGATGAAGATTGAAAAACATCTGGAAGGTCAAGCTAAAAAGTTTGAGGAGATAATATTAGAAAATGAAGCACTCAAATCCCGAGTGGGCGAATTAGAGGTTCGCTTGAATAACGCAGAGCAGGGACTATTAAGTAGATCACTGGAGATCCGCGGTATACCAGAGCGACCGGGCGAAACGCCTGCTGCTTTGGTGACCAGTATAGGAGCAAGCTTGGGGATCAGGATTAATGTGGAGGACCTGGACAACGTACATTGCCGCAGAAGCCGAAAAGATGACTCACGACCACCGCCTGTTATCGAACGCTTTGTCAGGCAATCAATTAGAGATAATTTAATTATGAAAAGGAAAGTGAAGAGGGATTTCTCCACGCGGGATATCGGTTGGCAGGAAAATGACTGCCACCGAATTTATCTGGGTGAAGAGATGACTAGCACAAACAGACACCTCTATTGGCTAGCCCGGCAGAAGAGAGCGGCGGGAAAAATCAAATATACGTGGTTTGCTTCCGGAAAGGTGCGGTGTCGAAAAGAGGACGGACATAGAGTCATCCTGATAGAACAGACCTCGGATCTAGATGTATTTGACTGAATACCTAGAAGCCGTCAACCCCTTAGCCTCATTAAAATAGTCTTACTTCTTCTCTTAGTGCTATCTCTACACCGTCTCTCACCAATTTATTTATTTTTAAGTACATTCTCTTTATTTATTTTTAATGTTAATATTACTTTTTCTTCACTTAGTTTCATGTACGATAATCGCTTTTCTGTACTTTTTACTCGCTTTGTCTTCTCGCTACCAAAAACTGACTGTTTCTCTCCAAATCCACTGTATGTCTAGTTCCCTGATCACATGTCAGGTTATTATGACGAATTCCTGCAATACTTTACCCAAAACTTTTATCATATCATAGCAATATCCGAAACCTGGCTCAAACCTTATAGTCTGTGGGCCAGACCCCCTTACCGTGCACCCCCCCCACATCCCTATAAATTGCATATCGTTGTGTTCCTTGTAACAATTTATTAAAAAAAAGCCAATGTTCCCACAAAAAAAAGTGAACGCACTGCCCCAAAATGGCGTCCAAAGATGGCGGATTGACGACTTTGACTTTAGTTAGTTTTTTGGTCACTGAGAATCAGCATTAAGCTTAATTTCCTCATAGTTGGTCTTTTATTAAAGCTGAATAGTTATAGAATAATAAAACATGAAGAAATATTAAAAAATAATTGTCTAAGGCTATGAAAAACACCAGTAAAGTCAATTTTTTTAATAAAAAAAATTTTAAGTTACAAATCAAGCGTCGTTTGTAATTAAACGGCCTACAATAACACAAAACGTGCTGAAATAAACCATCTGGAGAATATATTTCTCTTTCTGAAACGCTGATTATTTTTTACAAATGTTTAAGTAGTTCCGTAAAAAATGCACTTATGCGGCAGAAAAGCGGTACTGGCGTGGGTGCCTACAGGCCTCTACCACACCATTCAGTGCCCATAAATGGCTTAGTTATAGTGATATAATAACATTTTTGGTACATTATATTGGTTTTATTAACGAACAAATATTAATGCAATAATTTTATAGTAAAAAAAAAAAAAATTTAATTTAAAAAAAAATTTATTATAATTTTTTTAAATTTTAACCTCCTTTATTTTATACGTAGGTCGTTTAAGAATACCTCAATTGTAAAAATGATATAATTATAATAATAAAAGTTAATTAAAAAATATTTTGCTAAATATCTTGATTTTTTTTTATTTAACGTTTGCAATTTAACACTGTGTTTTGAATATTTACTGATTCTTAGAAGTAATTAAAATTTTTATATATTTCCCAGGAAATGAGTCATATTCATACCTTTTTTATAAACTAAAATAATATATACCTAATCTGAACTATATATAATGAATAG